ATCCCAGAAGAATCTCACTCCTTTACTTTTAAATCAAATCTAAATCCCAATATCAGCTGGTACCTCCACTGAATGCAAAGAAAGAAACCAAGGTCATGAGTGAGAAGGGAAGAAAAGAGGGACCCTGTATACAGACCCTGGCTTATGCTGTTACTCTCATTACAGGGAGGATGAGGGAGAAGACAAGGTATACCCACATTCCCAACCTTTGACACAGTGACTTGGCCTCTAGTAAACTGGTTGCATGAGATTAGTATACTAATTAGTATATTAGACAAGGTATACCCACATCCCCAACCTTTGACACAGTGACTTGGCCTCTAGTAAACTGGTTGCATGAGATTAGTGTTCTCACTTCTGGGGATTAAGTAAGGGATAGCGTGGGCAGGGGGACATGTGGTATTAAGAGGAATGGAGCTATCCCCTCTTTCATGCAGGCAGGATTCATGGCCTGTAAAAGAATTCTCTGGAATGACATGGCTAGAGAGAGGAATTTGAGCTTCCTATTGAGTGATGGGTAGAGAAGGATAAATGTCCAACCTTCAGATTCTGAAATGAAAGCAAAGCTTCAACATGTCTTTTCACATCCGGAAAAGCCCATGTCTAGCCCATGCTAGTTCAGAGGCTAGACCAGTGTAGCAGCCTTTGAACCACTGCTGCCTCCAGCCTCTCCCCTCCAATCCTTCCATTGCTCTGCTTTGCCACTGGAGTGATTTTCCTAAAGTGTGACTCCAGCCAGGCACCTACTGAGACAGTCTCAACTTCTCCTTTAAGCTCAGGGGGCTGGCCTGTTCATCTCTTCCCACACTATAGAGCGCATGGGGTCCTTACCTGGTACAGTTAGCCTGTCAACACACAGGAGTTGAATTGCATCAAACGTAGAGCATTATATATCTATATAGTCACATTTACACTATACAGATGCAAAGACCTTGTGGCAGAAATAAGCTTAGCACAATTCAGAAACACCTAGAAGCCTCTATTAATGATGTCTGGTACCTGGGCTCGGATGTTAGCTCATCGCTGTATCTACTGGTCTGACCCAGCCTAGGCCCATCATTCAACCCAGTTGCAGTTTCCTCATCTATGAAATGAGGGTAGTGCCTCAAATGGGATGAATTGTTATGGGATGAATGTGATAATGACAGTAGAACACTTGGCACCAGTAAAAGCTTAATTTGTTTATGCAAGCAATAAATATGTATTGAGTGCCTGTTTGTCCCAGGGTTTGTTTTAGGAGTCAGAATATAGTAGGAAAGAAAAGAAATACACACACACACCCCACAAATACATAAATATACACATCAAAGGAAGTACAAAGGCCCTGTAACAGGAAGATACTTGTCATGTTTTAAAAGCATCACGAAGGCTCTGTGGCCGGAGGGTGGTGGCTCACACCTGTAATCCAGCACTTTGGGAGGCCAAGGCAGGAGGATCACTCAAGTCCAGAATTTCGAGACCAGCCTGGGCAACATACTGAGACCCCCACTGCTACAAAAAAATTTAAAAAATTATCTGGGCATGGTGGCATGTGCCTGTGGTCCCAGCTACTTAGGAGGCTGAGGTGGGAGAATTGCTTGATCTCAGGAGGTTCAGGCTGCAGTGAGTCATGATTGCACCACTTCACTCTAGCCTGGGTGACAGAAAAAAGAAAAAAAAAGCTCTATGAATATTTATGCAGAAGTGTTTAGAGATAAAGTATACTCATGTTTGTAACTTAATTCAAAATTCATTTAAAAATAAGATGATTAGTTGGAGGGGTGGGTAGATATCTGATAATAAAATGTGCGTAGTAGAATTTAGTGGTGTTCTATGCATGTTCACTGTGAAATTCTTCCAATTTTACTTTGTGTTTGAGAAACGCCATACTAGGATGCTGGAGGAAAAACATCAGGAAGGTTAGTGAGGCAAGAGCAGATTGAGCTAGTGAGGGAGAAAGAGAGGCAGAGAAGATGAGGTCTCGGAGGTCTCTGCGACCGAGATCCTGGAGGGCCTTATGAGCAGTGGGAAGACTCTGGGGTTTTGTTCTATGCTCCATGGGAAGCCTTGGGAGGATTTTGAACAGAGGAGTTTCATGATCTGATTTGTTATTATAAAGGACCCTCTAGGCTTCTGTGGGGAGAAGCAGCTCTACCTAACAAGTCTGAAAGTGAAGAGGGTGGCATGGGAGGTGGCAAACCATGGTCAGATCCAGGGGACAGTCTGAAGGAGTCACTAATGGATGAGGTGTGCAGAGCATGCCAGGGCATTGGCCTGAGTGAGCAGGTAGACGGCAGTTCTGTTTCCTGAGATGGGGAAGATGAGGGAATGAAGTAAGTTTGGGTAACAGAGTGGGGAGAGTGATGGGGGGAGAAACACGTATTCTGTTTCAGGCATGAGAAGCCCAAATAACAGACTTAGTAATCAATGGGAGCTGTTATTACTGTTTCTACCACACATACTTATGTAACGACATTTGCAAACATACGTGCTTTCTCTGAGCTGGAGATTCCGCCCTGTCCTTCCTATTTTCTTTCCCTCTCATTTTCCTACTCCCCCTGCTGCCCCACTCTTTCAACTTCAGACAACTATCCAGTGACTGCCGGAGGCTCTGGTGATGGTAAAGGCAGAAATGAGGAACCAGAGGCAGCCCCTCTAACCCCTTTTGAGCATCAGAAAACCTCTGCTTAGGTCAGCACCTTTCTTCAGTGTGAGAAATCTGGATCAGAGGAAGTCCCTGGGTGAAACCAGGAGCACGCAGCTCTCTGGGCTCAGCTCCTGCCCTTGCAGACCCTCTGGCCTTCCTGACTCTTGAAGCGAGGCAGGCAGATGGGCTACCAGGCAGTTCTAGCACATGGCTGAATGTGAGATTCAAAGATGCTGCAGAGGGAAGGACCAAGATCTCTTTGTTTTACTGAGAATGTGACTCTGAGTCAAGATCTGAACTAATTTGACCCATCTAGTGGTGCTGTCATTTCCCCACTTCCTTCCCTCCTTCCTTCTCTCCCATCACCTAGGTTAGAAGAGCGTTTAAAGACATTTGTCAAGTAGCCAGCTGGGGAAACTGACTCGACTGTTAGAGACCTACTCCCTGTAGAAGGCTGCCTCAGTCACTAAAAACTAAATATATCCCAAAGCCACTGCATCTCATGGGGCCACAAGCACAGTCTTCTCAAGCCAACTGCTTCCGGAGGAGAGCCCTGGTGCATGTGTGTGGTGGAGAGTGATGGGGAATGAACCATGGAGTTTCCTCCTCCTGCTCTTTGACTTTCTATGCCACCTGTGACCCTTAGAAGTGCACCAGCCTCTGGTAATAACGTGTGCATAAGTCTTATAGAGTGCAATGTGCCAGACACTGTTACAAGCACTTCATGTATATTAACTCATTTAATCCTTCTAATAACTCTGTAAGATAAGTTCTGTTATTACCATTTCCATTTAACAGATGAGGAAACTGAAGCATAGAAAGAAAAACTAAGTATCCCAAGGTTACACAACTAGAAAGTGATAAAGCCAAATGTTCTGAGCTTAACTATGTGTTGGACAGGTGGATGAAAAGATCGATGAAGACAAGATTGTCCACAATGAATGGAGCAGATAGAGAGCCCCAAAAAAGCTCAACCTGGGGAAGCTATCTGCAGGCTAGAGAGAGCAGGGGTTGCTTTTGTTACTCTTTTGTTCTATTAAAATAAAAAAAGATTTATAATGTTAAACATCTTTGTTTTTACTTTAAAATATTAAAATATTCATACCTATACAAAATCAGTTTTCTACCACATACGGACACTTCTTAGAGTAGAAACTATAACACAGGTGGAATAAATTATAGGCACAATCTCCTACTCTCCACAAAGTCTTCCACAAATATCATTAGCTGTATGGTTTTAGGCAAACCACTTAAATTCTGTGCAGTTTACATCTCTTCTCTGGAGCCATCCCATAGGCCAAATCCATTAATAATTATAATCACAGTCCTGATAGCTGCTGTCAACTGAATACCTGATGAATAGCTGTACTAAACTAGGCGCTTTTGTACAAGAACTTTGTTTGTTTGTTTGTTTGTTTGTTTTGAGGCAGGGTCTTGCTGTGTCACCAAGGCTGGAGTACAGTGGCGTGATCATGGTTCACTGCAGCCTCAACCTCCCGGGCTCAAGTGATCCTCCTGCCTCACCCCCTAGAGTAACTTGCACCACAGGCACATGCCACCATGCCCAGCTAATCAAAACAAAAATGTTTGGAGATGAGGTCTCACTATGTTGCCCAGGCTGGTCTCAAAACCCTGGACTCAAGTGTCCTCCAGCCTCAGCCTCCCAAAGTGTTGGGCTTATAGGCATGAACCACCGTGCCCAGCCTCTCTTCCTCTTCTTATAAAGACACCAGCACTGGGATTATGCCCCCACCATTAGGACCTCATTTAAATTTAACCACCTCATTTACATTAATTAAAGACTCTATCTTAAATACAGTCACATTGGGGTGAGGGCTTCAACATATAGATTTGGGGGAGACACAATTCAGTCCTTAACAATGAGCTTTGAAGAGTCTGGGTATCCTTAAAAATCCTGTATCCAATTTTGCACAGATGAGAGTCCGCATGCACAATGTGGCCTCTCAAAAGATTAAAAATGACTAAAAGTATTATAAAGGACAAGAAAAGGGCTCATGGAAACATAAGAATATTAATAGAACTTGTGTTAAGCGGTAGAAGAAAAAGAAAATTCTCCAATATTGTCTTAATGAGCATTAAAAAGTGGAGAACAAGAAGGGCAGTGAAAAACGAGGGTGTCGGCTCTCTCTTTACATTTTGAAAGGTTTGATGGTTTGCCTGAGGTCACAGAGTAGATAATGGATCTGAGTCTAGGACCGCAGGGTCCCAAGCCCCAGCCCACCAGGCGTTCTGACCATGTTCTCATCAGCTGTGCTGTCTGTCCTTTCCCAAAGAAGCCAAGGCCATCTGAATGAGGTTCCTGAGCTGCCCCTCACCTGACTCAGAGATGTTCTTTCCCTTGCTTTCCTTCCAGAAGTGGAGCAGATTGAAGCAATTGCCAAGTTTGACTACATGGGACGGTCCCCGCGTGAGCTGTCTTTCAAGAAAGGGGCCTCGCTGCTCCTGTACCACCGCGCCTCGGAGGACTGGTGGGAGGGCCGGCACAATGGCGTGGATGGACTCATCCCCCATCAGTACATAGTTGTACAGGACATGTGAGTGGAGTCGGGACTTCTGTGAAAAATGCTGAAATAGATTAGTGATATCTGGAATGGGCACCATAGGGGAGTGCTAACTTGTATGCCAGCAATTTGCTTTCCTTAATACCATATGCTTGGTCTTCTGTAAGAATGGGTAATATCTAACTTCCCTTTAAATGGTGATCTACTTAACAGATATGCAAATTACTCCTCCTTCTGAGTACAGAGACAGTGTTGGGTGACCCTGGCCTGCATCCTGATGCAGCTGACAGCCTCCAGGGTATCCATCACCTACCATGGCTTTCGGTATCCAGAGGTTCCTGCCATGTACCTCCACCTAGGCCTCTGCTGCCTACTGTTCTGTACTCCAGAGGTAGCTGTCTTAGGGGATGGGCAGAAACAACCATGCCCTTGTTTCTGATTAATAGGTTACTATTTTAAAAAAAATAATTTCAGGGGTTAACAAAAAAGGCCCCTGTGTCCCAAATGCCTAGTCCTACCACAGAAAGTCTGCACTTTCCATTCATTTGAAAGCCATGGAAGATTCCAGTGCACACAGTCCCTGGGAGCTCTGGTCAGGCTCGGCAGAACAGATGTACTGTATTTGCAGCCACCAAACTAAGCCTCAAGGTAGGGCATCAAAAACCCACATTTTGATGGGAGAGAGGAGATCTCAGCCAGAGAAAAGGCCAGGGCCAAGCAGACTGCCAGAGGAACACCATAGTAGAGGGCCCTTGACAGTCTCCTGATGTTCCCAGACCTCTGAGGCCAGGGACAAGTCACAACGGCAGAGAAACGTGGAAGGAGCCTGGCAGGGCACCCCAGCAAGCTTGTGAGCCACCTCACAATGGCCCAAGCCTTGAGTGGGGAGGTAAGGGGCAGAGGCAGTTTCTTCCTCCCTTGCTTAGCCCCAAGCCATTTCCCACAGAGTCACACAGAGACTCAGCCCTCAGCCCTCGGTGCTAGGCCTGCGGACTCCATCCCCGCATTTCTCCAACACACCCTGCAGTATTTAGCTTGTCCTAGCCTGGAGCTGCCTGGGAATGAACCTAGAAGAGAAAAAAGGAAGAGGTAGGTGTGGGACAGAAGAGGGTCCCTGCTGCAGAAACTGAACAGGAGTGTTGCAATGGGCATGTGTGGTGGGAAGGCACCCAGTGGGCAGTGGCTCAGCAAGCGCTGTGGGCACAATGTAACCATAAGGTATGTTAATTCGGCCCCTCAGACACGTATCAGGGAGCCTTGTACATGCTGGGTTCTCCAGGGGAAGGCACCTCCAATTCACGTCTGTCTTCTCCCCAGGGATGATGCCTTCTCCGACAGCCTGAGCCAGAAGGCTGACAGCGAGGCTAGCAGTGGGCCACTGCTGGATGACAAGGCCTCTTCCAAAAACGACCTCCAGTCCCCAACGGAGCACATCTCGGATTACGGCTTTGGGGGGGTGATGGGCCGGTAGGAAACAGGGATTTATTTTTTTCCCTCCTAGTGCCAAGCCTGCTCATGTCTGATTTGGGAGAAGCACAAGGGCAGGGAGGAGAGAAGGAGGCTACTGCAGCACCCTGTTCCCCACAAGATGTGATGGGCACACTGGGCGGGCCGGCTGGCATTGGCCCAAGAAGGCCAGGTATAAAACGATCCAGCCTGCCTTGCAGGGAGGAAGAGGAGGAGGAAAGACATGTGTTGGGAACTCAGTGCTTTTCTATTGAAAATAATGAGGTGTGAGAGAGAGATACAAATTGGCAAGTATTTTTCCCGCCTCTCTCCAGTTCCTGCACCTCCTTCCAGGTTTCTGTTGTAGACCTGAGTTGTTATATTTAAAAATGTAAAGCTCACATATTCCCTGAAATGCACTACATAAACAGAAAACTCACACCTACTCATGTGTTGAAGGAAATTGACACTCGACTCCACCTACTTATTCAGTGGGAGCAGTATTGCCAATTTCTTCACTCCCTATGTGTGGGTCAGGCTGTGTCACATGACCTTTCTACCAGACTAGGAGGTATGCACATCATTCTGAGAACAGGTATAATCCAAAATATTTGGTCATTAAAAAAATTAGTGAGGAAATAAGAAATGCAAAGCAAAACTGACGATTTCTCACTGCCTTTTTAGTCACACTCTCAAAATGTCATATTCCATGTTTTTTTCAGTGGAGGGGTCATGTGATCAACCTACACATGTGGGGATTTGCAGATAGACCCCAAAAAAAATCATTCACAATGGGAACACACAATTTATGAATTTATTTCAGCAAAAGTCCTGATTCCTCTTCTCTGCAAATTCTATTCAGTGCAGCAGATAGCTTAAGGCACTATGGTAGAATTGGGAAGGGCAGGGAAGTGGAAGGCTGGGGTAGGTAGACAAAAAAGTTATGGTCCCCTGACTTCTTGGAGGACCATATCTTCTGCCTCTCTTTTCCTCTCCCTCGTCCTTCCCTTGCCTACTTCACTCTTGTTCTTTCTTTCTACATACTGCTTCCTCTCCAGTACCTATGCTTTGGTCCTGTTGGGGCACCCATAAACACTGCTTAGCTTGGCTGGTGGCACTAGGATAATCACTGCTGGTCCCTAGTCATAATCCATTCCCAACACGTGGTCCATCTCCATCCCTGCTCACCACTTCTAGCCTCCCCTCCCTTCAGACTCTTTGGTGACCTCTGTAGGATGCAGCAAAATCTCCTATGTATAGAACCTCTTATCTTTAAGGTGCTTTTAAACCCACCTGAAGCAAAGGTAAAGGGTGGGCAAAGGATCCTACTTATACCCACTTAACAGATTAATAAAGTGGGATTGAGAGAGGACACAGGAAAGCTTGTGGCAGACACAGAGCAAAAACTCACCCTCCTGAAACACACCCTATTCCCCTTTTCCCTGCTCCAGAGCCTCCCTGAGTTGGTAAAGGTATTTAAATGCACAAAAGGGCTGTCCAGCCATGCAGTGTTTACTCTTGAATGACTAGTTTTCCAGGATCCAAAAAAGTCTCATAAAACGAGCCCTCTTCTGGGGAGATTGGGGGTTGGGTGGCAATGTCAGAGTGTCTGTAGTTCCCAGGGGACCCCTCCTGTGCTTGAAGGGTGCTGGTTACTTTGGTACAGTCAAGCCTCAAAGCTTCAGACCAGTTAGGAGCCCCTCAGAATCATGGAAATGTCTGAACTGTTTCAGAGGGTATCATGAGCCCAATTAACCATCACCAAAACAGGTTGTAATCCTGTAGGCCTTGACTTAGCGTGTAGACCAGATGCATCTTGCCGTGGGCAGCACTGCTGCCTGTGGCCTGGAAGCACTGTGCTCCAAATGCCTTTGTGTTTGCACATTAGACCTCCCACTGCTGGTGAGCTGTGTGCTGGGCCAGGCCTCTCATTGTGGAATTGTGGGGTCTGGCTGAATGAGGCTTTACTGTACCCGCTCCTTAGAATAGCATGTAGTGTGTGGCATGGGGTTGGCTCACCCATTCTGAGACTTGCCAGGCTTGACCTCTTCCCCATGCCCTTCGCCCCTGGCTCCTTTGCAGAGTGCGGTTACGATCTGATGGAGCGGCCATCCCCAGACGCCGAAGTGGGGGCGACACACACAGCCCACCCCGGGGCCTGGGCCCCAGCATAGACACACCACCCCGGGCTGCTGCCTGCCCCAGCAGCCCCCACAAAATACCCCTCAACCGGGGGAGGATTGAGAGCCCTGAGAAGCGGAGGATGGCGACGTTCGGGAGCGCTGGCAGCATCAACTACCCTGACAAGAAGGCGCTCTCCGAAGGGCACTCAATGAGGTCGACCTGCGGTTCCACCAGGCACAGCAGCCTAGGGGACCACAAGTCCCTGGAGGCCGAGGCCCTGGCAGAAGTAAGGGCCAGCGGGAAGGCAGGCTGGGCAGCCAAGAGCCCCATAGGGCCACGGGGTGGGAATCTGTGGAGCGGGGAGTCACCTTAGCCTTTATGCCAAGCTCATAGCTAAACCAGAGAATGGGAGAATGAATGGCTTCCCTGTCCAATACTGGGCTTCCCTTGAGAGTGGAGACTGGTTGGGAGCAGTCACTGCTAGGGTTCCTATAGAGGCTGAATAGCCCCAATGTCCAGGGCTGGAAGAGGGCACTGGCCACATTATGGGGTTGGGGTAATGGCAGGTCACTACACAGAATGATATGGTTCAGTTATTCATTCATTCACTCATTCATTCATTTCTCTGTTCATCCATTCATTGGCAAATATTGATTGAACATCTATTGTGTGGCCGTCACCATGGTAGCCACCAACTGTACAGTGAAGACCTAAAATGGACTCAGGCCCTGCCCACATGGAGCTTACAGTTTAGAGAAGAAAGAGGTATCAACCAATACACACACACAGCTGTGAAATAGTGGCTGCGTTGGATGCCTTTAAGGAGTAGTCCACAGTATTTTGAGAGCCTAAAATATGAGGATTGCACCTAGGCAGGGAGAGACTTCTCTGGGAAGGACTTGACCTGAGACCCAAAGGGTAAGCAGAGCTAAACAGCTGAAGCTGCAAGAGAAGAATGCTCCAGGTTCTTCTCAAGTGCTTAGAGGGTTAGTTTTTTGTTTGTTTGTTTTGGTTTTGGTTTGTTGTATTTGGATGAAAAATCTATATGATTTTTACATTTGCCAAATGAATAGAACTGTGATTGAGTTAACAATTTGCATGGCTGGTTTCATGTGTTTTTGACAGTTCTATCACATTTTGAAAAGTTTCCCCTTTTTTTTTGTCTCTGAAATTTGGTGTGGGGGCCCATTATATACCCTCTGCCTAGTGTTCTCTCCCACGTAAGGTAACAGAGACAATCAGAACCTTCTGGTTTGTGAGAATTCTACTGTGGAGAGTGACCTTTGCATTCCTGTTCAAAAGGAGAAGGAGGAAAGGTGGGGAGCTGTGAGCTGTGTTCTTGGGGAGGCCAGGCAGAGTTTCCAGGGAATACCCAACACAGAAGTAGCTCACCTAGCAATGAGTACTCCTGTTCACATCAGCAGGCTCTAGCTTGGCCCCATGCTCACTCCCATGGGGTCCCTGAAGATCAATGCCTTTCAAGGAAGCATGCCAGCTGCTAGTTCACCCATACTTGTGGGAACATCACCCTAGCACCCACCATCATCTGGAAACTCTACCAGTGTAGAAAGTTCTACCAGTTATGATAGGGGTTGGGCCGCCTGAGGCCTGCCCCAGCGCTCTTTACATAATGAATGAAATGCAGTCTAGAGTACTGTTTCTGAGAATAGGTCTCACAGCAGAGTAGTTCCACAGGATGCTAGGGGGTGCATAGGGAATACATGTTCTGTGGTCAGCAAGGTTTGTGGAATGCTGCTGTGACAGAGTTGAGTGGCTTATCTGTAAGACCCTTATAAAACCTTTAAAGGAGGCGTCCCCAACCCCCAGGCCATGGATGGGTCTGTAGCCTGTTAGGAACCAGGCTGCACAGCAGGAGGTGAGCAGGCATCGCCAGCATTATTGTCTGAGCTCCGAGTCCTGTCAGATCAGCGGTGGCATTAGATTCTCATAGGCCGGGAACCCTATCGTGAACTGTGCATGCGAGGAATTTAGGTTGTGCACTCCTTAAGAGAATCTAATGCCTGATCTGAAGTGAAACGGTTTCATCCCGAAACCATCCTCCTAACCCCTGTCCGTGGAAAAATTGTCTTCCATGAAAATGATCCCTAGTGCCAAAAAGTTTGGGGACCACTGCTTTAAAAGATGTGCATTGTGAATCTCCACAAAAGAAAACAGGGCATGCCCCACATCCCAGACTTCTTTGACCTTTATTCATGGAGCATTTTGCAAGTCCAGCCCCCAGAATGCACATGGGGACTGCTGCATGTGTTCTCAGTTTGCCGAGGAATCTGCACCCTCTCTACTTTGACAGCTGCCATCCGAGAGCCCCTTTCACCAACAGAGGTCAAATGAGGAATTGTGGTAAATGATATGTAAATAGCCCACTGCCACTGGAGAGCTTCCAGCCTCAGCACTGGCTCTAATGAGCCCTTGACTTTGCACGTTGCAAAGGGGCGTGGCAGCTGAAGCATCCCAAGTAGCAGGCGGAATGACCTAAAATTCTCTGGTCTCAAAATGTCCCATAGAATTTAGATTTGAACCCACTTAAAGAGGCTGCTTGAGGAACTTGCAACATGGCCATCAAAAGTGGGAAGATCAAATTGGGGAGGAGATGAAAAGCAGTCGCAGTCCCTACTCCGTCCTGCAGGGCCTCTCTACAGCTCCGCTCTGGAGACTCACGGCATCACCTCTTGAACTAATGCAAGGCTGTAGCCTAAACAACTCAGCTGATCTTTCTCTGAGCTTTCTGTCTTTCTGTTCACTCTGCTGGGGTAGAGTAGTGATGGTGGAGGGTGGGGGGAGGGGGATGGTGGTGGAAAGGCAGTAATTACATTTTATTTATTAAAGTTTTACCTTGCAGCTCATGCTGGACTAGAGCAAATAGAGAGTAGTGAGGTCAGTAAGGGGCTTCCTTCAAGCAGAGTGGATGATGACAGGGCAGCTTGGCTCCAGGAAAGCAGGCTGTGTCACTGCAGGGCTGGCACAAAGCAGAGATGGGGAGAGGTCTGCCTTCCCTCCCTTCCTGCAGAAAATTGCTGCAACAGTGCCTCCTTTTGGGTAAGACACAAAAGACCCTTTCTTAGAGTTGCTGGTGTTCTGGGGCAAGGGATGAAACATTCTGGAGAAGCATACAAGCTAATATTAGCCATTAGCCAGACGTCCATAGTCCCCTAACAAAAAGGATAGGCTGTGACAATGAGGGAAGCAAGTGCTTGGGGCCCTGACGCATGCCAGACTGAAGCCTACCATGGGGCCTGGGGCAGGCAGGAAGCCACCTGCAGACAGGAGAAGGAGAGAATGTAAAAGACCAGGGTGGAGAAAGGGGCTGGCCCCAGCATTTCCAGGCTCCCACTCCATCTGTTTCAACAGACTTATACATATTTTTTAGGATTTGCAATAAAGCAAGCCTGTCTTAACAGTCATCATCGCTCCATGAGGTTATGCACAGCACCTACCAGTATTGGTTTAGGCAATATCCGTCACAATGCCCTCAATGGCTAAGCCAGCTGGGCTCTGACCTGGCTGAGCCAGAGCAGGTCCTCTCCTGTCTGTCGGATGTGGAGGCATCCCTGTCAACAGTCATGGGAAGCCACAGGGTTCTTGGGCTAGAAGCATTTTGAAAACCACCATCTGGCAGTTTGCAAAGCTTCATCACATCCATTATCTCAGCCCATCTTTACAGTAAACTTCTGGGATTGTAATAGGTGAACAAAATATGGTGTGGAGTGATCAAGACTTGCCCAGAGTCACACAGCCAGCAACTGGCCACAGAGGCTTTTTACTCAAAATTCTGGGGCCCTGTGCCCTGTCCATGGGCTCCTAGCTAAATGCTGCCTTCCAGCTACTGCACCGCCTTGAGCATGAGGGGATGGGAGCTGAGGGAAGCTGGCATGGTGAGCCCAGGCTGCCCTGGGTGGATGGGGGTGAGGGGTTCTCTCTTAGTCCTTCAGGGTGCTCTCCTCCTGATGAGCTCTAAGATATTATAACATCCTCAGGAGTTATGTAGGCAGAAGGAGATTTTTCTTGCCTGTTAAAATTTCCACTTTTTAAAAAAAAAAATTTTCTGATTTTAATACAGAGAAGAGAGTAGCAGTCCCTCTATTCTGGGATGAGCACTGTGAACATTCTGGTACATAATCTCCAAGTAATTTTTTGTGAGCAAGGATTAAAAAAAAAAATACTGAACTGCCTGGGTTCAGACTTGGGCTATGCTGCTACTTAGCTGTGTGACCTGGGGCAAATTACTTAACCAGCCTGAGCTTCAGTTTCCTCATGTGTGACATGAGCAGAAAGGTGGATCCTACCTTAGAGAATTAAATGAATTACTAGGGGACAGGGTTTGGATTGGTGCTCAGTGTTAGCTATTATTGCTACTGTTATTGTCATTTTTATTTTTGAGTGCTTACTCTGTGCCAGGGGTCAGGCCAGGCTCTTCACAGGGACTGTATCATTTAATGCACTTATCAACTCCCTGAGGTCCATATTATAATTATCTGCCGTTTACAAATGAGTATTCTGGAGGCTCAGAGGGGTGAAGGAACTTGCAAAAGGTCACATAGCAAGGAAGTGGCAAGGCCAGGATTTGAATCTGTGTCTGTCTGACTCCAGAGCCTGCCCTCTTTATCAGTAGTCTGACCTGCCCTTATTAAATCTATTTCCTTTGCAAGGCAGTATGCAGGGGATAGCCACATTGGTTCTCATGTGTTATGAGACACCCTGAGGACTTAATCTCCATCCCTGCCGCAAGGCCTCTGGGGAACCTCCCTAAGAAGGGAAGCTGCTTAACAGACAGGAAGGACCTGGCTCCAGGCCTCCAGACGCTGCTGACCCCAGCTCCCTCTGTCCCCAGGACATCGAGAAGACCATGAGCACAGCTCTGCACGAGTTGCGGGAACTCGAGAGGCAGAACACGGTCAAGCAGGCGCCAGATGTGGTGCTGGACACCCTGGAGCCCCTGAAGAACCCCCCAGGCCCCATCAGCTCGGAGCCCGCCAGCCCCCTTCACACCATCGTCATCCGCGACCCTGATGCTGCCATGCGCCGCAGCAGCAGCTCCTCCACCGAGATGATGACCACCTTCAAGCCAGCCCTGTCCGCCCGCCTGGCCGGCGCCCAGCTGCGCCCGCCTCCCATGCGGCCCGTGCGGCCGGTGGTCCAGCACCGGTCCAGCAGCAGCAGCAGCTCAGGCGTGGGCAGCCCAGCCGTGACGCCCACCGAGAAGATGTTCCCCAACAGCTCAGCGGACAAGTCGGGCACCATGTGACCTGCAGGATGGGCCGCCCCGTCATGGCCCACTGTGGCTCGCCACGGCCCAGGGTGGCCTCGGTGGCTTCCACGTGCTTCCCGGTGACCCTGGCCTTGGAGGGCAGAGGTCAGCCTGGGAGGGTGTGTCTGTGCAGAGCTGAGGTAGGCGCTGGCTGCAGCTCACGTCCAGCCATGGGAATCCCACAGACCTCTCGCGTGTCCGCAGACGTCCAGAGGAGTGCCGGAGCTCCGGCAGCCCCAACCACAGCATCTCCTAACATCGAGGCGACATGCGAGTGGCTTCTCCCGCATATCCTCACTGGAAACTTCTCTCGACATTCTGTCTACATACCTATATGTGTGTGTATATCGACGTGTGCATATATACACATGTATATGTATGTATGTGTCTGTAGGTGTGTGTATATATATATATTTATGCATCTATATACATATACTAGATCTGGACACACACATACTAAGTGTATATAGTATCTCCTTTTTCTTTTTATGAAACTTAGATTTACCTCAGACCCATGCCACCAAACATCTCCCGCCGAGTTATTTGGTGGGATTTGCAGGGACTTTTCTGGGAGAACTTAGAGGCCCATAGTAACTGCGAATGAAGCAATATACCACTAACCTGCAGAAAAACACAAACAAAAACAGTCTCCCACTGTCTCCAGAAGTCGTGGCCTTCCAGAACAGCCTGCCCCTCAAGGAAGGGTGGGGCAGGCAGTACTCCCAAGCAGGCTGCTCCCAGAGGTGGGGAACCCTTCATAGAAAATCCCCACCCCCATCCACCCCAGAGACCCTGCCCTTCCACCCGGAGGCCAAAGGCCAACTGTACCCCCGAAGGCACGGGAGAAAGTTGGCGAGAAGACCCCTGACCACCACATCCTTGTGTTTGTGTGTAGAGGCAGGGGGTAGTGAGAACCTCAGCCCCATCGTAGCACAGTATTACATGTGGTTGGGAAAAAGGGAAAAATAAAAATACAGTGGTGTGGAATACTTCAAAACCTAGAAACGCTGTAGGAATAAATCTGTGGCAACTATAGAGGTTTAACTTATATCATTTTCAAAATATTTAATTTTTTCTTTTCCTGGTTCTACTAATTATACTGTGTCAGATTTGGAACTAAACAGGCAAGGAGGCTTTGAGTCACATCGTTTCATTTTAAATCAGGCTGTGACGCACTGTGGTTGGTGCCGTCTTGCATGAAACGCATGAGCCGTGAGCACCCAGTTCAGACCGGGGCCAGGGAGGGGCAGTCCTGGGCACTTTCTGTCCTGGAGGACACTGTTGGTTGAGTTAATACAAGTGTCATAGCTTCCCTTCCCTCCCCCTTCACCCACTCCCTCCAGAACATTTAGTGTAGATGAAAATGTGGTGATAGGAATGGGTGCATGATCTTCACGTATAACAGCAAGGCCTTTGCCTCTTGGCTGAGTGAAGCCCTTCCGGGTCGCTCTCCTTTGATTCCTTTTTACCTCCTCTTCTGATCAGTTCCAGAGATGAGCTGTTTCTGGATAATGAAATGGCACTGGGAGAATCTGTGTGCCCTGTGGGCCACTGTTACTTACCCCCTCCTGCCAGACCCAGAGGCCCTTCCCTACTCTTCCCAAGCTTCCTATCTCTCTCGAGGCCACTGAAGTTTGGAATCAAAAGGCCCAGAGTCTGAGTCCCAGCCCTGAGCACTTAGGAGCTTTGTGACTTAGGGTTTGGCACTCTGCCTCATTGAGCCTGGCTTTTCTGCTCATAAAATAGGATAATAAAGGTGAAATGGCTGTGAGCAAGCTGTGTACACTGGAAAGCACTGAATCAATGCAATGCTCTTGTGATTATCATTAGTAAGGTAAGTCTTAGATGAGAACCCTCCAGCCCTTCTTTTTGAAACCTCTCAATGAATGGCATTTCAGAAGTGAGCAGTGGAATTTTCCTGCCATCTTAATAAGAGCCCTGGAGTCCATCATTAGCATTTCAGTCCATTGTATTAAGCGGTGACTTCTCCTCTGGTCCCCCACATAAAGGTAAATACACCCAAAGGGAGAAACCTAGTTAAGTCACTGGCACCTGGACCTGTTAAGAGGGTAAAGCCATTCTACCTTGTCTGAAGGACCGGACTTGACACCCCATAGTAAAAGGAGCATCAGGAAAGGAACAAAGAAAGGATCTCAGGGAGAGGCCAGTGTCAAACTTGACCTCCCTTGTTTGGCCTAGAATGAACCCTTCTCTTTAACTCCTGGATATGAAAGGCCCTCTGCCTTGGAGCACAGAAAGATATTGCCATTTTACAGCTTAAGAGAGTAAGGCCTTGGGCTGTGCTTTGACCTGCCCAAGATTTGACAACTGGCTAAGAGCAGAGGCTGTGTCAAGCTCTTAAAGTCATGTGTTTGCATGCTGGACGCTATGCTAACCAGTCAGGACACAAGACTTCTGATTTCTACCCTTAAGATACTCCCAGATCCTAAATCCAGTAGCCTCCCAGACAAAATATAGCAATCTCTGCCGCAACTATCAGATGAAAGGCAACAATCAGAGTAGACAAATCTGTTGCCTGATATACATAGCACCAATCAGACCGTGTGGATTTTTCTCTGAATTGACTGATTTGTTTTTTTTTTCTTACTGAAAATGGATCTGCCTTTCACTGAATTTTCTGAAGGCAGATCCTTAGCTGTTTTCTTCAAGTACCTATTTTTTTTCCATTGGGAAATGGCTGATGAGTTCACATTTAGGGATGCGCACACGCAGATGGAAGACGTCTCCCCACTCATCCAGCCCCAAATCTGGGCCCTGATGCAGGCCACGTGGGAAAATACTTCCCCGCCCCCTCCCCCCTTCCCACTTCCTCATCTGGCACTATGCATGTCTCAGTCGCCCTCCACAGCTCTCAGTCCTATCAACGTTCACTGAACATTGGCTTTCTCTTTCTGACTCCTGCCTGTTTTAGTCCACTATATATTGCTGTATTTGCTTAAATGCTGGAAAATAACTGTTAAAATGTGAAATTGTAATTTTAAAAAAGGCTACAATTAAATTTTAGCCAATGCCACTCACCAAATCTTTGCACCTAGTAGATAGATCAATGTAAAAACAAATACCAGAAACCTAACTGTACAGTGCGTGTGGGGGAAATGTAGTAACCTAGTTAGTAGTCTTCAATATAACCAATTGTACAAGGGGAAGTGGTGTTTACCTACTTGTTCATCACCATTATTGAAAGCCGTACTGATCAGTTAGTTGATAACGGGCATTTTTAATTTTTATTTTTTTGCTTCATGGAATGATTTCTTAACCTTCGACTTATCCTGAGGTCAAGCCTTTTGTCTTTAACCGATGTTCAGTCTATTTTAGGTATGAACCAGCAAGTTGTTCATTTAAAACTGACCAAAGACAATTAATTCCTGGTCTAGTTTCCTGGGCCTCATGGCCCAGCTGTCGCTAAAGAGCTTTCTGGATAAAATTGAGAACAAGCTGTGCTTCCTACCCCACGCGCCCTCTCCCCCTTTATTCCCTTTTCCTCTTAAAGAGCTGCTCTGAGCTGTGGGATTCTATGAAAAATTCTTGCCTTTCCTTGTTTCAGTGCTAACGATTTCTCACCTTGAAGCGCCTTTTGAACCCCGGACAGAGTGCACAACTGGAGGGAATTGTGGGCTTGGGAATTAGACTTGGGAGTCTTTTCTCTGAAGTCACCAGGCCAGGGGTCAGGAGAGAAATGGATTCCCAAGGGATGAAAGGTTTCTATTCAATGAAGAAATCTGAGTGGGAAGAGACACAGGGAAATTGAGCCATATTTTGGCTATCGGCTGGAACCAGCAGTTCAGAGATCTGCCTTATAAACACTTAAAACTGGTTTATGGTACATGAAGGGGAGCCAGTGTGGGAAGGGGCCTTTATGTGGGGCTTTCTTCTCTGCTGGAATCTCTTGGAGTGCCTTGTTGGGTATATTTCTTTGTCATTCAGGAGGCACGCATGCGGAGGACTTCTCATGACCTGGTCGTGATGTGGCACTCAGTGCATGTACACAGCTAATGGAAAAACACGAGGACTCGGGTAACGGTTCTTCCTCTCAGTCTGTTTCTAACTTTTCACACATCCAGATGGTTCCACAGTAGAGCAAATGCCTCATTCTCCTGAGAAACCCGGAAAGAAGAGTGGCTGGCTCACAACCGTGGGGGTGGCCCCCAATGGGCCGGGAGTGGGGGTGGTGGCAGGGAGGAAAGGCAGAAAGGGGTGAGTTGAGGTGTTGCTGAGCTGATTTTCTGCTGTGCAGAGCTAATGCTGACGTTTCATGTCAACTTCCCCGGTTCTCTGGGGCCTCCTCTCCTCTGAGCAGCCACATAGAGCATTCCCCACATATCCAGAGCTGCCCAGGGGAGCCGAAAGAAGGGACTTTACTGTCAGTCAGGTCCAAGCCCTCCTGGCCTCCCTGAGATTGATCTGCCAGTGTCCCGCTGTCCCTTTGGGACTGGCCACGTGGCCATCGCTGCCCCCTTGTTGACACCTCCTTTCTGTGTGAACTGTCGCCGGCAAATAACAAAGCTGTTCCTTGAACTAGAACAACCAGAGTGCACTTTTCCTTCCTTAGATGGAAGTAGATCTTGGCTAGGGTTTCTGCCCAGGCCCTTGTTCCCGGCAGTGTGACTGTTTACATGGTTTGGCAATAGGTTTGATTCTGATTGCTTCAGAGTGGCTGGTCTATTTCGTTTCCTTTGGTTTCCTTCCTCCCCAAATTGTGACAGGAAAAACAAACCAAAACCACCCTAGGAAATTGCTGGTTGCTTGTCCCCACGTGATGATAAATGTTGCCCTCTTCTGGATATCGTTTCTCTACCTTATGACCAAACGCCCGTCCTATAGAGTGTCTGATTGGATCCTCTGTCGCGTATTCTGATGGTGCCTGCTGGTTTGACGTGGAGCTATCCTGTGAAATAAAACAGCTTAACTTTTCTCAAACATGCTCCAGTGGTTTTTGAAAGGGTGAGGTGCCATGTCAGGGGTGGAGAGGTCCTGGGAAGAGCCCCCATCTTCCAGTCCATACCGTCTGCCTGAGGAAACACCTTTGAAATGTCCATTAGCTCAAATCCAACAAGGTGAAGGTCAAGGTTACAAGAAGGACTGCTTCCACTGTAGAGCTAACTGAAGAAGGTAACTGTAGGATAACTGCTGGGGAAACGGGGTTTGGAAATGTCAAAGCAAAGGCAAGTTGGGAGTAGTAGCTGTTGTCTGCATGTCTTCAGAAGTTTAGAATAAATTATCAGAGGTCACTGGGTACTGATACACCAAGGCACATGCAACATTTTGGTGTTCATTGTCTACAAATGTCATACAGTCTCTTGGACTTTTGTTTTTAGTGGTGTGTGTTTGTGAACTGTTTATTGACTACTTATTTCTGTCCCAGCCTCTAGATTAAACCCTTTACCTGTGTTTTCTCATTTAATTATCTATACACCATTGAAGGTAAGTATCATTATTATACTGTCCTGCAGATGAGGAAACTGAGGCTCTGAGAGGCTAAACAGCTTGCCCAAGGTTAAGCTGGGAAGTGGAGAAGACAGAATTTGAATTCAGTCTGCCTAAATCCAAAGCCATGCTCTTTATAAGTTTGTCATACTGCCTCTCATTTGAGCATTGTACTCATTACAGCAGGATTAGGGGCAGGATTTCATGATGAAGGTTGCTTGCTGCTTACTGCAGTCTAGGAATACTCCTGGACCTGTCCTTTCCATTGAAACCTCTGCTGGATCTTCATGCAAGGGTCTCTTTGCAGCCTCAGTGACTCATTCGCACCGAAAACACTCATCACTCAATGTTGGTCTCTTGCTAATTCCACACTCCTCTGCTATGAAACTGTTTTAGTCTATTTTCTGTTGCTGTAACAGAATAGCACAGACAGGGTAATCCATAAAGAAAAACAGTTTATTTGGCTCATGGTTCTGGAGGCTGCAAAGTCCAAGAGCATGACAGTAGCATCTGGCTAGTATCATCTCATGGTGGAAGGCAGAAGGGCAAAAGAGACAGTATGAGGGGCAGACTCTTTTGTAACCTTCTTTCATGATAAAAATC